AAGAAATTTTGGAACAGGCTACTTATAGGAGCACGTTACAAACAACAGCTTTAGCTGGGTCTTATTTGCCTAAAGAGACTCTCTCCAAACTGACCTGTTGACTGTGTAGACAGTGTCCAACAGGAGATCAGGAGGACTTGCACCCCTGGTTAATCATCTAGTGTGGGAGATGCTGTTTCTGGAGATCAGGTGCCTGCCAGGGTTGGCTCCATATGCCTCTGCCTGCTTAATGAAAACAGCCTGAATTAATCACAAAAATAAAAGAGAAGCTGTCCCAGTGTGGGCTGGCTGAGGATCTCACCCACGATATTCAAAATATATTCAGGGGGTGCTAGAAACTGATCTTATTTTTGGATGAGACACAAGGAAATAGTTCAAGAGAATCAGTCAGTACTTACATATATTCCAACAGCTCATCCATTACAATCTCTCTCTGTTTCTCTTAGTTTCAAGATTTCAATAATATGCCAGGATAATAATAATTATATTTCACTGACTTTGGAAGAAAACATTGGTTAATGTTTACTAACTGCACAGGGATACACCAGATTGCAATGAAATGCTCAGACAAAGCTTTTTTTCCTTTACCTTCAAACATCAACATGGTCCTGTTTCAGCAAAGTCTGTTCCATCAGTGTTTATTCTACTGAGGAAAATCTAAAAAAATGGATAAACTTTTAAAAGATAAATATGCAGACCCAAAATTCAGCACACCACATGAAGAACCCCATACTACCTAATTGTGCACAGGGTGATAATTTACCACTGATTAAAGAGTTTGTATTTTTTTTCAAATCTTTTTTAAAAGGAAAATTACTTCTGAAGGTGAAGATGTGCTTAGACAATCATATTAACATATTCAAACAATTGCAATTTGCAAAATAGTAATTACAACTCACTATCCGGTAGCATTAATCAAACTTCAAGGTTTAATTCCATTTTAAATATTGATGAAATGTGATTCTCCAATCTAACCCTGGTGTTGCAGGGTTATGGAAGCAGCCAGTGACAGAAAAAGAGGAACGTGTAGTTAACAAGCAGCTGCCACAAAGAAGGATCGGCATCTGTGATTTAAATTGTTAGCTGCACAGTCAGGTAGAGTGTAAAAAGGGTAGTCAAGAGGCTGTTAAGTCCATTGCTGCCAATTACTAACAATCAGGGAGGAGCTTTAAGACTTGTTCAGTACAATAAACCCAGTTTGTCTTGTTTCAGGGGTTACTACTGAAGAGGTTGCAGCTGCACTGATTCAAATAGCCCTAAAACTACAGTAATTATCAACCAGTCTTCTTTAGTGTAGCAAAAGTATGTTTTACCATAGCTTAACTCTTTACATTCTAATATTTCCCTGCCTCCTCTCCCATAGCCAGCCCTGGAGCCATTCTCATCTCTGGGGCTGTGGTTCTTCTTGCTATGCTGGATCAATCCTTTCATTTCCCCTTACCTCGACCAAGGAGCAGTTGTACAGAACACTGGGTTGGGTGGCAGTTCTAGGGATTTACTTCATATTGAGTCATTTTCATACACAAAGTTTCAATTCACTTCTTCATTCAGTTTTACATCTGAATAAACTATATGCAAGTTAAGCAGGGCTTATGAACACGGGTTTAATTTGCATGGGCTCAGATCACTGCATGAACTGAGACATTTTGGGATAGTCCTGGAGAGGGTAAAATCCTTGGAGCCACTTGCCTTGCGTGCTTTGCTCGGAGACCAGGAAAACCCAGAATGCAGAAGGAAACAACCTGGGCAAACCAAGGACAGGCTGGAAACCTGTGAGATGAAGCCAAGTTACATCTGCCTGCCTTTGTGCTTATCCCTGGGTGCTCAGCTGAGTGAGAGTCATTGATGGCTCCAGCAAAAGTCAGGCTGGTTACTTCTAGTGCTCAGGTGAGGCACATACACCCAGATATCACTGCTGATGAACAGCTTGGGTAACTTCTGCTTATTCCTTCACCAGGGCAGAAAAAGTTTAATTTTTCCTGCCATTATTACAAGCTCAGATTTTTTTTTTTTTTTTTTTTTTTTTTAGTTAAGGCAATTCCAGCTAAAATCACAGAGCCACCCAGGCTGGACAATCTCTGCTTGCAGCCGGGGCTCACGTGACACGTCGTTACTGTCTGGAACACCTAGTGCATAGAACAAAAGCCAGCACACTGATTATGGCTTGGGTGTTGTTTTTAAGAAAGCTTAAGGACCGCATTTGCATTCCTGTTGCAGCCCTCAGTGGAATCTGCCTCTCAGGATTGCGTGATCTTTAAGCAAGATTCAGTGCTCATCTTTTTAATTCCCTTTTTAGCATATTTTTCCCCCCCCCTCTGTTTTCCCCTCGTTTATACCATTAACAGGGCATTTTGTTATGGACCTAGGGATTCCTAGGTATAAAGAATAAAAAAGAGATCAGTGAAACACAGAGAGAGCTGAACTTGGCCATTCTACCCAAATTGTGACCATTTTCCAGTGGAACAGTGGCAGCCCCGGTGTGTCCTCAGCCCACTCACGGTCACTGAGGTGCTGCTCAAAGGTGGGCACTCCCCACCAAAGCCGAGCTTTGCAAGCCCTTGACCCAGGAGAGGGTCGGGGGGACACCAGCACTCTGTCTGGCCCCAGTGACTGGGAGCACAGAGCAAACTGGAGAGCAGGCTCCGAGGGAAACCTCCCTCCAGCCAGCGGCCCTTCCGATCCCTGCTTGTCAGGGGTGGCACAGGAGCTTGGCACGTGCTTCCCTGCTTTCACCAGGATGCCTCCCTGCTTGTGCCAGGATGCCAAGGGAGCAGCCTGTGAGCAGCACCCGACAAGCAGCGAAGGAGGCGTGTGCCCGCCTCACTCGGCCAGGAGTGAGAAAAAGGGGAGGGCTGCACGAAAAAAAAAGGAAGGAAAAAAAGGAAAGACAAAGCTGACTTGATTCAAAACCCTCCACAATCAATAAGATTAACCCCCAAGCTTGATGACTTGTGCAACAGACTGAATCTGTCACATACTTTACTTCTTAGATTAACACAACACAACTGATTATTCAGTCAGTTCATTCCCGGGACCTTCCTACCTTTTGCATTTCAAATGCTCCTCTGTCACTTTAATGTAAAGGTACAACTCCACAATCAAAAGATCTCCCTGAAAATTCGACTCCTTACAGGGAACATGCTTTTTCTCCATCTCTTCTGACCTACCCGAGCAGGGTGCTCAGTGTGTGATTAAATGGGACTGTGCCTGACTGTGCCAAAGGATGGTCACAGCACAAGGTCACAGCCCCCTCAGCTCCATCCTCCTCTCAGTCATCTATTCTTTCTTAAAAATCTAGTCTGAGGCAGGTTAGAAACACACATCACAAGCACCTAGTATGGGTTTGTTAAGACAGTGGTAAACACAAGAAGCAGCTCGAATACATTTCACTTATATAAAAATAAATACAGATATTGTTTTAAGTAATACTTTGATTTTTTTTCCAAAGCTCTTTGAAGTTTGGTTTTCCTGGTTTACTACATAGATCTCCTTTCCCCTAAACCAACACAAAAGAAATGGCTGCAGAACAGTTTCTGGAGACAAGAGTGTTTAAATCCCTGGAATTAAGAAGCCACAACTTAACATTCACCAGGCTATTTTTTTGTAATCATACACAAAATTTCTATTCAAACTTTGCTGGGCAGTTATTTTTTTCCTACATTGTCTTTGCTTTTATTTTCTTTCCACACTGTCATTATGCTCTCAAAATAAATACGAGAGACATGAATACTAACAAGGGACACAGAAGATGGTCTAAAACGTGTCTCTCAGCCACTACATCAGTTTATGGATACCTGCCACAACGTACATCTCAAAAACAGCATGGAAAGAGAAGCTGGAAGACAAGAACCTGGGGTTTTACTATAGATTTTCCTTTACCTTCATTTTTCATAAACTGACAAGCCACACAGGCATAGTATTTTTTAAAAAAGGTCTATATTAACTTCTGATAGTTTCAACGCTTCTCCTGCATATTTTGCCCAAAACACAAAATATAAAACCTATACATGCAAATCTTATCGTTCACCCAAGCTAAGCTTTTCAAACATACAAATAATCAGTCCTTGCCACAGATCCAGTACCTCCTGCCTTGACAAATTTCCGCACAACTGCACACGATCTTTTAAACAAACAACAACAACAACAAAAAAGTGTTCTAAGAGACGACAACGGCTAAAAAGGGATTTGCTTTTCAAAGGAAAAATTGCTTGTTTGAGCCGGACCCCAGCGCTGCAGAGAGCAGCTCTGACACGGGGATGTTTAGCGCGCTCTTTATCTCCCTTTCAGACGATGATGAGCATGAATGGATCACTCGGACCTGCCGGAAAGCTGGGGGTGGAAGAGCTGAGCACAAACCGAAACCATAAACCAGACCTCGCTAGACAATAATATTCCAGCAAAGCAGGTAATCTGAGTCACAATAAATGCAATTTGTCCTCGTGGATTTGTCTCACCCTTTCCCTCGACAGGAATATAATCTTTCTGTCATCTCTGTCAGCACAAACAAAAATGGAAATAATCATTTAATCAGTCATGCTGAGCAAAAGCCATGGAAAAAAAGCCGACTGTACTCACAATAATATTCCTGAGAGGTGTGCAGTGTAGTATGTATAAACATTATTAAGCCTGAAAACAATTTGTTAAAAGGAGTGCCTCAGATTCGGTGTTGAAGTCATTCAAATCCATCTTAATCAACATTATTTTCCCAGATTTTAGTTAGCTGTCCTGGTGAATTCCTTTCCTCTCTTTTTGCTCAGTACTTTGATATTGATTGATCATTGTAATAATGTACACCAGAGGTATTCTTTAATGACTGGTTTGCTAACTAGGAAATTATATCCATTTACTACGAACGTTTGTTGAACTCTCCTGAAGCCAGAGTTTAACAAAATAATAAAAGAGGAAAACTGGGTGGGTTGCTGCTTGATTAGTAAGCCAGAAAGTATTTAAAAATAAAATAAAATGGAATTACATCATTTTCTGGATGTAAGTGCCAGCACTTCTACTTGCATTAACTTTATTTATTACACAAATAAGACATTTACAAAGCACAACATTAAAAGTATGTAACAAAACAGACATTGGTTTTACAAAAAAGTGCTTACAATTTAGTTTTACTTTTTTAAAATAAATATTAGTCTTGACTGTCCACTCATTCAGAGAAAAAATTTTTTAACCATTGTAGCCAAGACATGCAGAATTGCAACATGCTACAACAAAATGATTGGCAGATGAAATAAAACTGGTGTTTAGTTGGCATCCTACAGATAAATCACTGATAGTAGTGCAGGATTGGTTCCCACTCCCATCCCAACGAGTGAGTTGTGTAAGCACCTTTAGCTCAGGCATTGGGGTTAACCAGCATGAGCCAAAAAAAAAAATCACTGGTGATAAAACCTTAAACCATTCCACCTTCAGAGCCGAGCCGTATTAGTTACCTTATTAAACTGGAGTGAAGAGCCTTTCACTGGCTGTCCTCAGTGGGTTCTGTCTGCAAAAGGCTTTGTAAAGAGCAACTGGAAAAGTTTAGTGCGTGGAGTCTGCATTGCTGCACCAGAACCCATCTGGCAATTACTGAATAAACTAAGAAAATGAGAATGACTTTAATTTTTTTTTTTTTTTTTAATCCACAGACAGGAGATGAATGCAAATGACCTGAGATAAGGTTTGGTTCAGTGGCAACAGTCAGTGTGAAATATGTTGTGAAACAATGTATTGAATAAATTAGAAGATTTCTTACATTCTTGGTACAGTTGAGTATTTTCCATACACATAATTAGCTCTAAAACTGCACAAGCTGAATTGCTTCCAGTTTTTGCAAACAATTTGGGCTTAATATAAACAGAGCCTGATTTCTGAATTAGCAAAGCTGCTCCTGGCTACTTATGGGGGGAAGTGCCCCGAGCACAGTCTGTAGTGAGCCCACGTCCCTGGAGAGAAACACCTACACCCCCTCAGCCCCTGCCTCGTGCTCCGGCCCTGCCGTGGGATCGGTGACAAACCCTGGGTTATACAGTACATTTCACAAGTGGGGTTTCTTTAGATCGAGTTGGTATTTAGCAGATACATATTTCATAGTTTTCCTTTCATTGCACCACCGAGACAGAAGAGAAACACATCGAACCCTTTTCTCCCTCCACAAAACAGTTGTGGAAATCTCAAGGACTGTGGGATGTCAGGGCAAGTTACAGCCTGAAGTCTCTCCTTCAGTCTTAAATGAAATAACGGCACTAATTCCACAACTAAATGGTCATTAGGATGCGTGAGCACAAATGGAGAACAAAGTCGGCCCCGGTGACCCCCCCGACCCCCACCAGCATCTCAAGGCTGTTGCACATGAACCCAGCAACCACCTTAACCTGTGATCACAAACACTCACCAAGAGCCAACGAAGGGAACACCAGTCCTTCACTCATTGCTACGGGCAAGGACAAAAATTGCTGTGACTGGTGACCGTCCCCTCCCCGAGGGGACACCTCTGCAGTGCTGCTTCCAGTCAGGGCAGGCGTGTGGCAGTGCCTTGTCACTGGGGATGTCACACGCTGGGAATGGTCGCTCGCACGTCAGGAGGTGACAATAATATTTTCTAGACTTAATTCCCTCTCTGCTTTCAAAACTTGGGGACAGAGCTGCTGGCTGCAATTAGACAGATACTGGCCTAACTGTCCGAGGTAGTACCATCACTCTCTCTCAACACAGACACACAGAGCAGAGTGTGTGTGTACATATGCATTTGCTCCAACCAATATCAACGTGTGCTCGTACTCAGCTACTTCTCAAACCCAGAGACCTTGGTGGCCACCTCAGCAGACATCCACATCTCCACAGGCCATTCCCAGTCAGCCGGAGCCGCGTGCCTGGCCGCTGGTGTCACACAGAGTTCAGGGACATGGTCAGGAGAAGCCTTGCCATGTGTGCAACAGGGGCTGGCCAGAGCAGGGGGATGGACGGCTGCCCTCCGGCCGATGCTGGAGATGGATCCAGGATCTCCCAGAGAGGAAAACACGTGTATGCACAGTTCAACTTAAAAACAAGTTATGTAAGGGATGGGTTCCCATCTCCTGCTCCCGGGGCACGGATGGGTCATTCCCCTCGCCGGCTGTGGCTCGTGGTGGGCTTTCACATTCTCGGACGCGCGGCCTCACGGACACTTAGCAGCAGGACAGGCCCGTGTGCTTGCGTGGAGACAGGTTTTGTTACAGACCTGCTCTTGGCTCGGTGCAAACTGAGAAGGGCTGGCAGAGGTCACTTGTTTACTTTTTGTTATTACCGTCAATGAAGGATCATTTTGGAGCCTTTTTCCTGATTCGGGGCCAGACTGCTGAGCACTTCCTTTGCCGTTGCCGTGAGCCCGCCGGCAGCAGTTCTCCCGGGCTGCACCTTCATCCCAGGGCCTGGCAGGACCAAGAGCTGCACTCCAGCAAGGGAGAACGGGAGGGCAGAGGGAATCAGAGTGACACTGCTGGACAGAGGAACACGCCACCACCTCGCTGTCCACTCGGCTAGTGACCTTCCTGCTGGCCTTACTGTGGTCTTCACCTTTTTAACTGGTCTCCAGTTTCTACCTGGCTGTTTCCACTGATTGAACTTGGGTCCACAGCAGGGCAGAACATTTCTACACCTTTGTGGTCACCTTCCATTGAACATTTCCCAGTCCCAGAGTATGGAGAGTCTGAGAGTTTTGTGTAGGTACACTCTGAAATCACCCATTTGTGATCCGATATGACTCCAAGGAAATAAAGTAGTTTGTTAATAAAGAACAAGAGTAAAAAACTTTAAAAAAAAATTTAAAAAAATGAAGATTTGGCAGATGGCTGTGAGAGGAGAGAGATATTCAGTGTTCTAAGAACAAGTCAGCAATCAAAAACTTCAGGGTGCTAAACCTGGCTCTGCCACCAACCCCCACAGTTCCTCTCCATTTAGGACATCTCTGTTTCCCCTCCTATAAAACGGGGGGGAAAAACACTAAGATTTACTTACCTTTGAGTGATCAAAGGACATATGATTCTAAAGCACTTTGAGGAGGAAGAAAAACTGCCTATTTCCAGCTGGCATCATGTTTTCCACTTAGTGGAGTCTCGGCTACCTGCGAGTTTGGCTCAGGAAGGTCTGTCTATGTATCGAGTTGCTGAGCCAAAAAGCCCATTTCAGATTTCACACATGCAAGTGGAAATAAGGAGGGATGTCCGGGAACCGCTTCACTGGTGCAAAAAGAGAATCAGGCCAAACCACGTAAATTCCTCCTTCCTTTATGCTCAGAGGTGATCACCGACCCCCCTGAGACTCAGCGTGTTCTGGGTTGTTCGTATTCCCATGGGTTTGGGAGCAAGATTTGCAAGCACAGTAGAGTCACTAGTTTTGACTGTGTCTGGCACTGCCTTGGAGAGACTCACGGTCATTCTACAAGTCCACAAGAAACAAGTGTCAAATGTAACTCTGCACTCAACACACACATACACAGAGTGTCGCTGGAGAAATCGGAGTGGGCGTGAGGTGCTGGTCAATGGGAAGAACTGGGAGTGCTGGATCTGAGCTCCTCCTCTGGGACTGATGCCGGTTGCCGTGGGCTGGACACCGTGTCAGCGGCTGAGGGGCAGTGGTGCTGGTAGGGCCATGGGCAGGTGAGGAAGAGCCCGGGCAGTCAGTACTGAAAGAGGATGACCTGGGGGAGAAACGGGAGGGGAGCATTAGCTGCTTTCGGAGACAGACAGCGCTCATGGTGGCAATGTGCTTTCAGGGAGAACAGGACAGACACGGGCTCTGCTGTGGAAGCCACTTCCCCCCAGGAAAACCCCCTCTGGAAGCACTGTCTGCCCAGGAGCTGCCAGGGATGCAGGCACTGCACTGAGGAGCCCAGGCAGGAGGTAACGGGACTGTGGCAGCACAGCCTGCAGGAAAGGTGCCCCTCTGGGCACACCTTCAGCTGTGAAACCATACAAAACTGGGCAGCACACCAAAACCAGGATTTAACCAGTTTGTCCTGTGATACGGCAGCTTCCAAGAAAGACAAAGACCAATACCAGTGGTCCTGACTCTATCCCCCTCCCTCGATAACCATCACAGGCTCCCCTCAAACCACTTCACCTCACTGCTCTGCAAATACAGCCCCTGCCCTTGCCATTGGGCAAGGGAAGCAGCCACTGAGCTGGTCACAACTCAGATCTCACCAGCCACTGCACTGGGCACCCCGAGGGGAGGGTGGGGGGTGCCCCATGGGAGAAGGGAAACAGAGACTTAGTGTTTACAAGTGTTTTCCCAGGATCTCAGCTATCACTGCTTTTAAAAAATTTTGGATGGGGAAAAAAAAGCTGTTTCAGTTTTCAGGAATTCAACATGCAAGTGGCTGTTTGGAAAAGGAGCTGGTTGGGGGGCAGCTCCATGTCCTGAGAACCCCATTCTGCAACAGCTGCGAGCAAGTAATTGCATTTAAATCAGGAGCTGCTTGCTGCAGTGGAGCTTCTCTGAATGACAGCACTGGGACTGTATAATATTTTCTGAAAACTCTCCAGCTCACTGTGCAAGTACCATGAAAAAATGGTAGCATTTAGATTGAAAAAGTAACTTTCCTGTTCCCCTGCTTGTGCTTGCTGAAACAGAGCTCGATAAGCTGCCACTGCTGCACTGAGTAGAGAGAGATCTGAAAAGAGAGATGCTGAGAACTTCTAACAGTAAAGAGAAAAGCTAAAACCACTAAGAGTTGCCAAAGGCTCAGTGTTTCCTCAAAGGAAAGTCACTGAAACTGGAACTCTAAATAAAATCTTACAAGCCTAAGCATGTTTGAGAAGTCTTGCCCCCAATAAGCCGTGTATTGGATACTGGAAGCGCTGCACAGAAAAATATCAACATGCAATATTGTTCCCTGGCCAGACATTGTGAAATAACATTCCTGCTTCAGATATTGTAACAGCCAGTTATTTGTTGTTTTTTTTTTTTTTTTAAGCAATACTGCAATCCACAAGAAATGAATTTTTTTTGTTAACTCATGGAAAACTGGGAAGTTAGCACATGCTGACAGTTCCTCCTGCTCTGTTATCAACAGAGGAATGGAGCAGGACAGAACTCAGGGCACATGGGAAGGGGAGAAACCAGAGAGGGGAGTCAGCAGGAGGACGTGGGAATCCTTCAGGGAATGCAGCACTTCACAACAAGGAGGGGTGTTTAGTGAAGAACAAAGTGATGCCATTCTGACCAACAGTGGGTACATCAACTGAGGGCCACCAAGACTAAGGACAGACACATGGGAGGTCATGGAGAAGCAGTGATGCTGACAGGAGACAGCGGTGGCAATGATGTTACACACAGATCTTTGCTACAGTGGAGGGTCGGCCCCAGAGCCTGGAGCAGGGACTACAATTACCTTCTCACCCCTATTAGATAGTGGTCCTTCCATGTCTGCTTTGAGGTGCACTGGTGGAGCAGTGTAGGGAAGTCTACAGTGCACTTGTCCACACTGTACCTGACCTGTGGATGAGAAGAGGCTTCAGCCTCTGTTACTACAAACAACACAGGCCCTCCACCGGGAGCAGCTCGGGACACACATGGAGCAAGAGGTGCCCCATGGATCAGGCAGAGGCACAGCAGGAGCCCATAGGAGGGGAGAAGCCTCACAAGAGCCACAACAGCCATCCTGGCATGACCAAAGCTGCCCACCACTCACAAATTATTCACCAGCACTTGGAATTGTTAAGGAAAGCAACTCTGCTGCTCGGAGAAGGAAGGAGAGCACTGAGCACCAAGCTCAACGGGGCACACTCACAGCTCTCCTCCATGACACAGAGAACTCACGGAGGGCCAAGGATCAGCCAGGTAAAACCCAGGCTGTGGCTCTTCTGAGGATGAGGTATGGAGGGGAAGAGCAGCAGCCCTCTGTCCCCTCCCTCTCTCATCTGAGCCTCCCACATTAACAGCCCTTCAGAAAACTCCAAAGGCAGAGTTCACCAGGCACGAGGAGGAGCAGTAGCAGCACAGGACTGTTTCTGGCCGTGCTGTGCCGTGGTGCCTCCGCCTGCTCCGGGGGAGCTCCCCCTGCCCCTCCCCGAGCCCTCCCGAGCCCCCCCAGTCCCCCCCAGGTCCCCCCCAGGCCGCGCCCCGCCGGCCTCTCTCCACCTCATTACTTTTCTGTGTATCCCGTGCAGCGTCACCATCGGGCCCGCTCGGGGCTGCTGAAGTGCGATAGTAGTGGATGTCGTCGGAGAGCGAGGAAGAGGGATGCGCGGACGGGGGCGCTCCGAGGGCGCACCGTGTGCTGCGGGGTTGTGTTTTTTATGGCGGGCTCTGCAGTTTTGAAACCAAACCTGAAACAAAGGCAGCAAACGCTGCGTCAACTCAGAGACAACTGGATTGAAGTGTGGTCCTTCACCGCAACCCCAGGGTGGGCGTCTGCTCCAAGCATTTGAAAAAAAAAGAAATAAAACTGAGAAATCTGCCCCTCACCAGCGTTTCACTGGTTTCCACAGCTTTATTTTACACCCACTAGAGCACGAGTGAAGCCAAAGCTTTGTCCCTGCTCAACTCCCCTGCAAAGGATGGGAGCACCTTTCAAGGTCCTAAATCTTAGGCTGCAGCCCCAGCTCACCTGGGCTAAAAGCACAGCTGAGATCAGTTGGGAAACGTGAGCATTGGCAAGGAGAGGAACAAGGGGAGACAAGACCAAGCAGAAGGTTAGATTAGGAGATGTTGTGACTTTAAGGATGATGAAAACAATATTGTTTTAATACACTTGTACCATATTCAAAAACCACATCAACAGAATATTAAAGCTGAGAAAGGAGGGTACTGAGGTGGGACAAAGCCCTAGTCTGTGTGAGCAGCAGACATGAGCCCTCTGACCATATCTCAGTGCTTCTAATTAAAGGAATAGTTAGGGAATTACATCCTAGAGATAAAACACGCATGGAAGGGTTTTTTTATGCTGAGGAGGTGATTTGTTTCTTATGCTTTAATTTTTGAAAGATAGCTGGGAGTAAAAACCTTCTCCAAGGCTGAGTGAAGATCAGCTCTCTGAGGCTGAGCACACTGGACCACAGAGAAGGGAACAGTCATAAGCATTTGACAAATTGTTTCCTGTTTAAAGCGCCTTTGAAAAATATCCACATAAAAAAATCACCTGGTGTGCAGCCTGCTTGATCTTTAGCTAAATGAAGAATCTCAGTAACGGAGGCTCGAGCCAGATTTTCACACACAAAATTTAAATGTGTCATTGACAAAACAATCCCCGATGAAAGCTCCAAATTTATTTTCATCATTTGTGTTTTTTATTGTATGCAGAAAGTATGTCAGCAGAACATTAAAGTGATGAGTATAAATGTCACCGAGAGGCAAAGCTGGGCTGCAGGGATGATGAGCTGGGATTTGCAGAGGGGACATTTCTCAGTCCCTACAGCATCACTTTCCCTCCCCTCCCGGCACAGGCGTGGGGACTTCCCTGCCACCACATCCCCTGGGGCTGCAAAACCCCTTTTTCTTTAAACTTCTCAATCCCAACGCCTCCTGAAGCTTGAGAACTTTGCCTGCTCATGGCAGGGACTGCTACTGACTGCCAGGGGAGCTCTGGCGCTGCCCGAGCTGGGGCAGAGCACAGAGCTCTGGGACACTGTGCTAATGGGCAGCTTCCCCACCTGGTGATTTATTGGGGCTGCACGGGGGTTTGTTTCATTGCATCCTAGGAGGGAAAAACAAATAGAAAACCCACGAGAGAGACAGAGGGAGGATGGTGTTGGCATTGCTACAGGAGCCAGTGAGCACGAAGCTGCTGGATACTGCATGTCATGGGGTTGATGTGCAGGAGTGAGGGGCCACGGGGCTGTGAGCCCTGTCTGGTGCCAGCCTTTAGGTGCACCCTCCCTGCCCTGCTTGGGGCTGCTCGGCCAACAGAGCCCACCCAGCTGCCCCTCACCTGAATGACCCTCCGACTCAGCCCCGTCATGTCCGCCAGCTTCTGCAGCGTCTGTGCGTCGGGGTTGTTGTCCTGAGCAAACTGTGCCTGCATGACCTGTGGGAGAGAGGAGAGAGGGGCTCAGGATGAGGCTGGGAGGGCGCAGCCCCTCCAGCCTCCCCGGCCCAGCCCCCCTACCTGCAGCTGCTCGGCGGTGAAGGAGGTGCGGGCTCTCTTGGCTGGCTTGGGCTGGCTGTCCTGCTCCGAGGGCACAGCCCCCTCCAGCGTGATCCCATTGCCTGCAGGAGGGAAGCCCATGAGCCACAGGTCAGAAACTCCCCTGCCCACCTGGCACCCCCACATGCAGCAGCTGCTCAACTGGGGGACAGCACGGCCGGTGGCATCACAGTGTGGGGCACCCACGGCATCCTTTGCTGCAAGTGGGAGCAGAAAGAGCAGAGCCAGCACTACCCCTTGGTAGCTGCCCTGGACTGCTGAGCCCCTCAGCACACTGGGAAGGAGACACCACCTCCCCTGAAGTGTTTACTGTTGAATTAAGAAAAATGCAGCAAGTGGTGGAAGCCACAGGGAATAAGGGACAGGAAGACAGCAGCAGGAAGAGGGATGTCAAGGTGGTGTGTGAGGGCAAGCACTGATGTCCCACTGGCCCTGACTCGTGGTCACTACTTGGCCACATCCTCCAGGGAGCGGCTTGGAAGGGACCCTGTCTCTGCTGGGCTCACTGACATCCATCACTCCTGCCCTGTGCTGCTCCCTGTGACCCCGTTTTCCTCCACCGGTGCTGCTTCCATGAGTTGTTTCATTTGCTCAGAGAGTTTCAATGGGCTCTTTGCTCATTTCTGCAGCTCCAAACCCTCCCAGCACCCTGATCTCCTCCTCCTCCTGGGTCCCTGAGCAGCAGAAGGAGTGACACTGTCCCCACAGCCTTGGGGTGCCCATGCCCTGAGCAGCAGCCACACTAAGGGGGACACACCAGGGGGACACTGACCTCCCACTTGCCAAGCACAGTCTCGGGGTGAGCCTACAGGGAGAGTGGCCAGAGCTGGGGTCCCTCGTTCCTCACTGGGGTCCCCCCTGCAGCCCAGGCCATGCCTGTCTGCTCTCAGCAGTGTAGGTGAAGCACCAAGGAGGGATGGAGGAGGGAGGAAGGCCGAGCAGGGCTGGCGCTCACCCCACTCCCAGGATGCGCCTGCACAGCCCAGCGCTCGCTCCACAAGCTGGACCAGGCTGTGATTGTCTTGGCTTGAGTTGAAGGACTTTCTCATATAGTTTGACTTGTTCTTTTCGGATGATGAATGGGACTCTGACTTCAGCAACATCTGTTTATTTTTCTTGTATGTAAAACCTCATGTGCAGAAGAAATTGCTGGGTAATTGCTAGAGGGGGGAGCATGGCCCTCCAACTTCACAGCAACTGCAGCTCTCCAAAGTGATCCCACCCCCTTCTCAAAAGCAGGGGACACTTGGACAGAGGTACCCATACAGGGCACTCAGCAGGTGCCCCAATGCTGCCCAACACCGTGGTGCTCAGCCCACACCAGCAGGTCCTTCCGAGCAGCAGAAAACCCACCATCCCAGCCCTCAGCTGGGGTAACAGCTCTGCGAGGCTCCCTGGTGCCAGATCCTGCTGTCCTCGCACCAAACTGCTCCTCCAGGCCACGTGGCATCTCCCTCTCCATCCCTGTTCCCACCGCCTCCCTCACGCCTCCGCAGCAGCTGACCATATGGACCAACATGCCGTGAGCCACATCCTGAGCGGGACCCTCCCAGCCTGTCTGGGCACTCTGTTTTCATTCTCTTACTCAAACACAGTAAACAGAAACATGTTATTTTCACGTCAGGTTGTTAATGGTTTCCACATGCTGCACGGGCCGGGGCATGGCATGTCACTGCCTGTGCCCACCATGCACTGAGGTACTTTCCAACACAGGACATGCCGTGGCACTGCCCGGCTTCTCTGTGCACTACACTGGACTAACCCCACAGATTTGTTCCTCCAAGCATCTCTGGCCATTGCCATGCAGGAGGATGGGGCTGGGCTCAAGGGGACGGGAGCTGTGGTGCCGTGTGACCTCAGTGTCACTGACCCGACGGGGACACTGGAGGCTGGCCGGCCATGGTGCGGCACAGCACCATCCAGCTGGGAGCAGCACGGCCCAGGATGGGCAGGGCGGGTGGAAAATATGGGAAGGTTTTGTCGAATCGCCAATCCCACCTTCTAGATTTATGACTCACAGCCTCAAAGTCCCAGCAGCTTCCTCACACGCTGCATGCCGGGCTGTGTGGGACCAGGCACTCGTCCCCGGTACCACCCATGGCAC